TAAAGAATAAACTGTAAAAATTTGAAACAATTCTCACATAACTGATTTTACGAAAGAACTACCTTAATATTTTTTTTAATAACTCAACAGTTTCTGAAATATTACAAAGATATAGAAATATTAACAAAGATGAATGAATCTGAAATATTAACAAAGATATAGAAAGTCAGATTTTTTAAGGGATATTTGTGAATCCTTAGATCCGTTTATCAACCAAAAAAATATGACTGGATTCATATATGTATATACATTTTATTCCTACAAAGTTTCAGATTTTTAGACATTTTTCGCAGAATTTTTCTCGACTTTTTCTAGGTTTTGTACTCGATAGTAGTATAGACATTTTATATAGAAAGCTCTGAGGACGGTGGAAGTTGTGGATGAGAGGCAAGTGGGAAGAGAAAAGTAGTGGGGAACGTGAAAGAGAGAGAAAACAGTGAGGTATAATACAGGATACATACATGGTACATACAATACCGTTTTAAAACGGGCAGTCTGATTTCTACGTTCTTACAAGACGCGTCGAATATGGTACAGAATTCAAGCATATCTCTGCCAACAGGGCAAAAAATGCCCATTTTAGGATTTGGAACATGGAACGTAAGTTTATAAAGAAATAGCTTTGTATTTAAATAGCTTTATAAAACTATACTAATTATAAAAATAGTATTGTAAACAATATTATAGTATTATAAAAAATAAAATTATAAAATAGTATTGTAAAAAAACCAAGACAAAATTTATGTTCATATTATATACCAATTTTCCGTAAGAAAAAAAGGACCCGCCAAAAACCTTATGGAAAATGGATTTCGGTGAAGTTGACTGAAATTTTGCCATTTTGCACTTATGTGTTATACAGGGTGTCTCATTTTAAATGATCCACGCACATATCTCCAAAAATATGAAAAATACGGAAAAACGTTTTAAAAAAGTTGTTTGGTACGAAGGGGGACGTAAGGTAGTGCCATTGACTTGACCTTAGATAGTCATTTGAAGGTCACGTGAAGGTCACCTTCAATTTTTTAAATGAAACCCCCTATTGTTTATTATACTATCTTGTTCTACTAATTAATATGAACAATTTTTGTCTGAAACATTTTCTTATTTGCATAATACTTTTTGAGGTATTCAAGAGAAAATTTATAACTTTTCAATGTTTAGCTTATGATATCTCGATAACTGTTTGCCCGAGGGAAAAGTAGTACAGGAATAAGAAAATTTTTGTGCATGTAAATTTTATGTGTTACAATACACAAAAATTTTCAATAATTGAAGCACTATTGCAAGAGCATATTCCTGAGACTAAATCAAGTAAAAAATTCCTGTACTACTTTTCCCTCAGACAAACAGTTATCGAGATATCATAAGCTAAACATTGAAGAAGTTATACATTTTCTTTTGAATATCTCAAAAAGTATTAGGCAGAACAAAAAATGTTTCCGACAAAAGTTGTTCATATTAATTAGTAGAATAAGATAGTATAATAAACAATAGGGGATTCCACTTAAAACAATAAAGGTGACCTTCAAATGACTATCCAAGGTCAAGTCAATGGCACCACCTTATGTCCCCCTTCGAACCAAACAACTTTCTTTTGAAACGTTTTTCCGTATTTTTCATATTTTTTGAGATATTTGCGTGGATCATTTAAAATGAGACATCCTGTGTATATATATAACACAAGCGCAAAAAAAAACACTTATGTATACATATTATTCATATACAAAATAAATAAATATAATACAGGCAAGTGGAGAGGAGCTCGAAGTAGCTCTGAATGCAGCTTTAGAGGCAGGATACAGGCATATTGATACCGCAACCGTTTACGAAAACGAACGATATATTGGTAACGTTCTTAAGAAGTGGTTGGATTCTGGTAGAATTAAACGATCTGACCTGTTTATTGTCACTAAGGTATAACACTCGAATTTCTACTTATTTTAAACATAACATGAGACTAATAACTATACGCGATAATAACAGGTCAAGAACAATCTCATGCGTATATTAGCATGCGAACTTTACTACAATAAAACGACAGCATATTAATTGTAAACATTTTAGTGAAATGATTTGATCTCCGTTCGTTACTTAGTAGCTTCGATTCACATCAAAACGCTATTTCTCTGGTCATGCTCTGTAACTTGCAACTTCTTTTGAACTTTGTTTAAAAAGTTTTAGGGAGAAACTTGTATGAAAATGATCTAAAAGTACTACGTCATTAGTATTATGTATGTTCATATATTATATTTCTAATATTTAGGTTCCACCTTCTGGAAATAGACCAGGTGACATAAAAAAATGGCTCGAGAGATCACTTTCCAACTTGCAATTGAGTTATCTGGATTTGTATTTGGTGCACACTCCTTTCGCTTACGAAGATGCTGGCGAAGTGCTGCATCCATTTAATGACAAAGGAGAAATCAGAATTGACACAAATACGGACCACTTAGAAATCTGGTCAGTGATGGAAAAACAAGTTTTAGAGGGGCGTACAAAGGCGATCGGTTTATCGAATTTCAACATAGCACAAATAAAAAGGATTTTGAATAACGCCAAGTTACCCATTTCGAATTTGCAAGTTGAATTGCACGTATATTTTCAGCAGCAGGAACTGGTAAGTTTTACACTATAAATATTTCTCTATATCCAAATATCGCTTTATAAACCAAAAAGTAAATATCGACATCACCTTTATGTTGAAGGTAAAGTTTTGCCAAAATAACGACATCAGCGTAACAGCGTACGCGCCTCTAGGCACGCGTGGGTTCGTTGATAAGATAGGAAAGGGAGACCTTGTGCCAAATTTATTGCAAAATGTTACTGTGTTAGAAATTGCGGAAAAATACGATAAGACTCCTGCACAAATATTACTGAAACATATCGTTCAAAAAGGCATTGCAGCCATACCGAAAAGCACCAGTCCGTCAAGAATTAAAGAGAACTTTGAGCTATTTGATTGGGAACTCGAAGTTGAAGATGTCAACCAGTTAAGCGCTCTTGACATGGGAGAATCCGCACGTATATGCGATTTCAGTTTTTTCAAGGGTCTCTCAAAGCATCCGGAATTTCCTTTCTAAGATTATGTTTTAATTTTACTTCTTATACGTTTACATGTCTATTCATTTTTGTTAATTCTCGTCGTCATTGTATAATTGTTATTATATACAGGGTGTTCCCTAATTGCCGGATGTCCCGTAGAAGGTAGATAGACCGGGGCAGACTGAATAGAAAAGTCCTATAACATTTTGCAAAATTTGCAATAGTTATCGAGAAATTAATTTTAATGTCTGAGCGAATAGAAGACGGCAGCCTGGACTCAGCAGGCAACGGTAAGGTATCATCTGATAGCGAAAGGTGGAGCGACGCGCCGAAAAAACGTTGCCTGCCGAGTCCGGTCTGCTGCCTTCTACGCTCTCATTCGCTCAGACATTAAAATTAATTTCTCGATAACTATTGCGAATTTTGCAAAATGTTATAGGACTTTTCTATTCAGTTTGCCCCGGTCTATCTACCCTCTACGGGACATCCGGCAATTAGGGAACACCCTGTACATTTAAAGATTGTTACTTATGAAACTGAAGAAATTCAGAATCCAATAAGTAATTAACGTTTCTTGTAACTGTCTTATTTTTGTTTCTTATGTCACTTGACAATTTAAAGATTGTTATTTCATGTAAAACTTTATCACAAAGTAAGTAATCAATGTTCTTATTATAACTGTTGCTACTTTTACATGAATTCCTAATCTGTATCAGCTGTACTGTTTAAGACGAGCTACACATGTTTAACTCCCACTACTGTAATTCACACTGGATTGTTAAATCATTTTATAGATAATAAATATGTTAGACATATAAGACAAATTGAATAAAAAAAATTTTTTTCATATTTGGTTAGAAAGTTTTATCGGAGAGATAAACCACTGGGGGCATTGTGGTGTATAGATTTGTAGCACTGTTAAGCATTACTAGACATTGCTTGTGCATTAATGGGCATTAGGGAGCATTATTACCCCTTGCCATGCTGGGACATTACAAAGAACACAAATATCATATATTAACCAAGATATTAATACTGTATACTATAATATATTATTCTTGTACACAATCTTGCATATACTATATTTTTTATGTCGTGTATACTATATTTTTTATTTTACTATCACTAAAATAAACATTGCTTGGGCATTACTTGTGTATTACTAGGACATTAGTGAGCATTGATTTTGGTTAACGGTTGACCTTTTGGATTTTTCTACGCTATAAGTAAAAATTATATATAGTCCCTGATGGAAATATTTTACTGAAAATATAATGAAAGTTTGTTAAAAATGTGCTTGGAAATCTCTCTCAATCAACTCCGTTTTATTTCACCATTTCATCAATATTTCAGTAAAAATGCAACGAAAAATCAGTTTCAGTAAATAGTAACAGGTTTTTAGTTAAATTCAGTAAACTTCATAATATTTAATGTTTTATAATTTTTTAATTACTTTTCAATAATGTACTCAAACTTCCTTCATTTCAGAACATTGAATTTTATAAGGCAAAATATGATTTATTTTGAGAGGCATTCAGTAACTTTTCAATAACTTTCATCTCGATGTTCATAAATTTCATAATACTTTCAGCAAAATAAATAGAGATGCTAACAAATTTACATTTATATGTGTATTAGTTGTGACATAAAATTTTTTATACAATATACAAGCGAGTAGATACAGTACGGAGTATTAATTCGGTTCGGGTAATAATTAGGGATGGGTCAAAATTACTTGATTATTTAAACTAGATACTTGTTGATGATACGACCCGAACCGAATTAATGCACCGCACTGTACATTACTAATGATGTCAAAGCATTTTAATACACACAGTTATTCCTGAAAATGTAGGATGCTTTCACATCACCGGCCTACTTTCACTTCAAATATTTCGCGTCGTTCATTTCATGACTTTTTTCTTTTTACTCTTTATTATAAGGTACATATATCGAACACACCAATTATACTATTTAATATTCACTACACAATTTGCCGAAATTTGCGAAATGGAACACATTTCCCACAGGACTCCTAAACAAACATTGTGTACGAGTATAAAAATAAAAATGATATATCCTTATAGTAAATTCAGCGTTAAATAATTCTGAACTCCTACGAAAATAGATCGAGATTAAAATTCGGTCACATATTAGTAGAGGAAAGTTCTCTATTCCCTAGTAGCACAATATATTAGCGCAATATTGGGAAATAATATAAATCTAATATTCCCAATATTGGTCCAATATTGTAAGATGGACGCTTTCTCATGTTTAGCCAATATGTCTATTTAACAATAATAGTTTAATATTGTATCAATATTAGACCAACATTCTTATTTTATTGTTAATTATTTTATTGGCAAATGCACTTCCAATATAAATCCAATATTATGTAATTATTACCGTGTAATATTTATATTTTTCCATGGCCAATATTAGCTTTACGTTGGACAATATCGGCCCATTTCTAATGTAACCAGCATTGAACTAACGTTTAGCCAATGCACTATGCTACTACCCATACAGCACAGATAGTTGCAGTTACAT